GGGGGGGACCACACATGCGAACTCCCAGAGCCAGGAGCCAGTCCCTAGGCAGCCCCAGGCCCATTGGGGGGCACAGCAGAGCTGGTCACGGCAGGGGTGGTCTGTGGGGGAGCAGTGGCCGACAGCCTGCGGAGGCAGGGGCAGGGGGGCCCAGTGGTCCCAGGCTGGCAGGAGGGGGCAGCGGGGCTCACTCACTGGGCGGGAATGTCAGGACACCGCATGGGTCCCCAGCCGCGTGCCAGGCACAAACTCCAAAACAGCTTGTTTCCTGTTACTCACTCCTGGGGCTAGGCCAGAGCCCCACTAACCCACCCTCGCCCTCGAGGTGGCTGAGCCTGGGGGGTGAGCGCTTTGGGAAGCTGAGGGGGTTGCTTGAAGGACGGAAGGGTGGCCCCCAGCTGAGGCCCACCCCTCCACCGGCTGATCACACCTCACTCCCACAGGGGGCTCCCTCAGCCAATACCAAGGTGGAGAGGAAGCCCCCCTCCACGCCCCCCACCTCCATTTCTTTGTCATAGCAACACTGGACACCTTCACTTCTCATGCAGACAGGGGCAGCTGGTTTAGACCTGGGACCCCTTGTCCCAGGCTGGGCAAATCCCTTTCCCTGTCTGATGCAGGGAGTGAGACCCCCCTCAGGTGCCTGCGCAGCCTCTCCACTCACCATCTTTTTGGGTCTGCCCCGCGGCTTCCTCCCAGGAGCTGTGCTGGTGGTTTTCTGAAGGGTCAGTGAGGGTCGGTCAGCCACACCTGCCCAAAGGCTCACCCACACCCCAGGGTCAAAAGCAGGTAACCCCCACTTCAGCTCAGGACCCGCAGGCCAGCAGGCCCACCCCAGTCCAGTTAGGAATGACTAGACCAGACATTTGCCCCCCACCCTCACCCCCCACACACACACCCCACTTCCTCCTCCACCCATGACTCAAAGAGGATATGAGTCGTGTCTTAGAAAAACAGAAAACAAAACAAGGTTTTCTAGAAGATGGATGCCACCGTGATTCTGGCTCCACTGCTTACCCGCCCACCAGAGCCCAGGGACAGAATGGAGCCTTCTTCCCCATCTAGTGCCCAGGTCTGCCTTTCTCTAGACCGGCAGGAGCAAGCTTGACATCCACCCCGCCCTGGGGCTCAAGGCCTCCACTGTCCCCCGCTCTCCCCAAGAGCCAGTCTCATCTCCACTGGGGAATCCGAATTCCAGGGACAGCCCGTCCCTTCCTATCCGTCCAGCAACAAGGGCTTCCTGGGAGCGATGGGTCTCAAGCCTTACCCGGATCTTGGCAGCACCCTTGTTTTTGCTCCCCTTCGGTCGGCCCCGGGGTCTCTTGGGTGTTGGCACTTCGCTGGGCTCTTTCTGCAAGGGCAAAGGAGGCCGTGAGACGGGCACGCCATGGGCACACCCCCAACCCCGTTGCAAGACACTCTGCCCTCACACCCGCAGGGTCAAGTCACCAGGAGACAAGCCCTGCCCCTACCCCAAGAGCTGCGAAGTCCAGGTGGGCAAGCCTCAGTTGGGCCAGCTTTGCCCAAGGGGCTCCGCACCCTCCCCTTGCTTCCCTGAGGGGTGGCAAGACCCCCTGGGAAAGATGTGGGATGGAAGCACTGTTGAGGCAATTTCCCATCCCACCTGTCACTGAGATACGAGTATTACCTTCGGCAGGATGCTTTCATACCCAAGCCTGAGTTTCTCCATCTCTAAACGGTGACTTACCTTCCATGGTGTGGGGAATGTGAAATTACTAATATGTGGGGCAAATATGTGATCTGTCCCCACCTTCTGCCCACCCCTAGCCCCTGATGGTAGATAAGCCCCAGAGGCTGCTGAGAACGTGGGCGGGGAAAGAGCCCCCTCCTCAGAGGGAGGCCTCCAGCCAGCCTGGGCCACCCACTCAACCAGGGTGCCTCCCAGGGGGAAAGGAATTCATTCATACCCAGCACCCCTGGGATCCCTGCCATGAAATATTCCTAAGCTTGCACACAATGCAGGGGAGCAGGGCAGTCGGGCAGCCAGCTAGTTTTCCCAGGGTGGCTGCCTGTGGACAGGTTATAGGATGGTTTGCTAGCCCAACACTCACTGTGCCCCTGCAGACACCTCCCCCCAGCTGTCGGCATAACCTTCAGGACCAGAGGGTTAAGGAGAGGCTGAGAGCATTCAGGTCAGGCAAGAGGATGCATCCTGTTGTAAGGCAGCAGGCACTAAAGACAAGAGCCAACCCCACCCCAACCCCCAGAGCTCCTGTAACCCAAAGGTGCAGAAACTGGTCCACACACAGCATGAAGACTGAGCCTACTGGGTCAACCTGCCCAGTGTGCAAAGGATGAGCCGCCCCCTGCCCTTCCTTCTCTTCCCAGGAAAGGGCAGAAACCAAGCGGTGCCAGCAGCCACCTCTGGGAGAAGCCAAGATCTCTCTCTCCCCACCAACGGCCTAGCTTGGCCCGGCTCCCTAGGGTGGCGCCCCTTCAATGCCAGCTGGCTTTCTCACCCCTTGGTGCTCACAAGCGAGTGTACCCAGGTTCTGAGGGCCCTTCTGCACCTAACCTACTCCCCAGCATACACACGGCCACGGGCCCAGAGCCCAGGCCTAGGCAGCAGAGATGGCAACAGGTGCCGCCCAGGGAACGCGGGCTTGGCCTGGCCCAAGATGAGAAGTCCGGAGGTGAACGCTAAGTGCTTAGAAACGTTTACAGCCAATTGACCAGAGGCATCTTTGATGTGTTGGAGCAAATGATGAACAACAGCCACAGGCTTTCCTTAGCCTTGTTTCATTCATTCTGTTACCATTCGCACCACACACTGCTCTATAACCGATCTTGATCGATAGTGCACAGACACTGGTCTGGTGACTTCTGGTCCCCTCTGGCTTAGATTTCCAAGCACAAATTCATCTTGTGGTCCTCAGTCTCCGGTGCTGTCAGTAGGTTCCGGGCAGGGTCAGGATGTATAAGGTGTTCGGGTTTGTTTTTTTTGAGGGGGGGGCAGACACCATACAGACAGAAATGCACAGCTCTGCACCCATTCTCAAACACCTGGCACCTCCCTAGCCCAGCCCGAAAGGGTAAAGCAAAGGTGCAGGCACCCACCTGACTCCCTACCAGCGCCGTCCCGGGACTCACCGGAGGCTGCTTGCGTGGCCTGCCCCGGCCTCGCTTCTCAGTGCCGTCCTTCTCCTGCTTGGAGGCCAAGGGCTGGCTGGACTTTGAGCTCGATTCACTCATCTTCTCTAGGTAGCAGATGCAACAATGGCCGGATGCTGAAAAAGCAAGTGGGGTGGGGCGGAGCGGCGGTAATTTCCCCGAGATTGAAGGCCTGCTTGCCACAGGGTGAGGCAGGGCCACTGACACCAACAGGGGCCCAGCACCTCCACCCCCATAGGACCAGGGCCCATGCAGCAAGGAAGCCCACAGAGGCCATGCCAAGGCAAATGTCTGGGTCTGACATACTGGCCGGCCCCCTCCCTTATGCAACCATTTTAGCAATAGTACAAACACTGGTCTAGTTAGTGGCCTCTGGCCTGGGCCTCTTCGTGGAAACACCATGGCCCTCAGCCTGGCACTACTGACGAAGACCTACGTAAAGGACGGCAAGCGCCGACCCAGGGAGCTGGTGGCCAAGTAGCCACCACGTTTACATCCACCCCTGTCTACCCTGCTGACAAGGGGCTTCAAAAAGGGAAAATCCCTTCTCTCTATCTTCCACTGGCCCCCAAAACTTTCTGAACGCCCGATCCATTCAGGAAGGTCTGAGGCTAAGAACCAAAGGTAAATAACAGGTCCACCACTGACACTCCACAGCCTGTCACACGACCACGGTTGGTGGCTACGCCGGCAACGTCAAAGGCAGGGAGTCAAGACAGGGAAAGGGCTGAACCCCCAAAGGGTCAGGAGATAAAGGAGCCCAGGGTTGAAGGGTGCCCACCATTCAAGAGTCGGAGGGGATTTTCCTGATGCTTGCCGTCCAGAAGGGCAGTGATTTCTCTAGCAGAGACAAACCTGCTGACGGAGACCCTGGGCAGTCCCCGGGGGCTGCAGGAGGGCCAATTCTCAGAGCAAGGAAGCGCATCCTGGGGCAGAAAAGGCAACGAGGGGCCCACACATTCATCCCCCGCTCCAAGTGACTGGCAGTGAGACTGGCGAACCCAGGGCTCGCACCCGTATCTGCCATTGGCTTCCACTTCTGAACTCTCATTTGTAAAATGGGGGCAGAACTATAAGGTTCCCGAGATCCAGTGGCATTCTAAAAATTTCGTTTCAAAGGTGCTACGTGGACGCAGGATGTGCTCAGCCCTTCGTTCAAACAGAAATACGAATCAACATTTGCAAACAACTCCCCATCTTGGACCAGTTTCCAATCTGAACCCAATGAGAAACCGTTGGGTTCAACTCGTGACTTTTGGAGGCTCAAGGCCCACATCCTCAAGCGGCCCTCCAGACGGCAAGACTTTGTCTGGTAATTATTCCATTTTATAATATTTCAGACTTGGGAGACCCTTTTAAACAAGGTGGTTGGTAATTTGCCGTGCTCCGTCATTAGTGGCTTGGCCTGCTCTGTAATTACAGGCAATGATTAGAATCTTACATTACACCACAGGTCTCCTTTAAAAACTAAACATCAAAATTAATCAGCTAAATGAGGGCTGACCTCACATGAGGTTTGCCAGGCCCCCCTCGCAGAGGGGGTTCCAGCTCAGTGCAGACAGCCAGGACTCCTAGGGCCTGAGTTCAGCCTGCCTGGGAGCCCTGGCAGCGGAGACAATCTGGTGGACCCCCGCAACACACACGCACCTCTCGATGCTGGAGACCCTTTTAACCCACCCATCCATCCTCCCCCACTCCCCAGCACCTTCAGCCTGAGGCCCCCTCTCCAGGGACCAAGAAATGGTTGTCTCTTCCACCTGTTTCTGAACCCTCAGGCAGGGCAGGCGTGGAAAAGCCACATGTATAAAGCCCCGACCTCAATCCCTCCATTCGGAATAAACCTGCACGAACCTCAAGCACGTCGCTATATACACTGTGCGCTCCACAAATGTTTAGTTACGTTCGCAGGAAGGACTGGGGATCTTCTTGGGAGCCCTCCCACGAGATGTTTTTCCGGTGAAAGAGTAGCCCAGAGAGGCCTAGTGCGTTGCCCAAGGTCGCACGGGAAGTTGCTGAGGCTGTAGGTAGCTAGCAACCCTGCAGCCCGCCACTTACAACTGCACCTGGAAACGGGCGACAAGCCCCCTTCCGCCGCCTGCTAACGACCCCTCCCCAAGGTGACTGGGCACGGTCTGCGGCCGAGCGCTGCAGGCCGGGCCGGCCCGGGC